GTGGATGATCAAATTGATAAAAGCCAAGAAAAAATTACATTATAGCACAAAAGTAAGCTAATTTGATCGTCTTCAAAGATGCTATATGACTATTTCACTGTTCGAATCGAGCCGAACTACGCGGGTCGCCATTTTGTTTTGCCCGGAAGTTCTCGCAAGATCTACTCCCCCCCTTTCTCTCTCTCTCTGTCTCTTTCTGAATACTGTCTATCGGTGTGGACGATCAAATTGACCAAAACAAAGTTAAAAAATGATGTTAAAACACAAAAGTAAATTAATATGGTTGTCTACAAAGATGCTACGGCTATTTAACTTTTCGAATCGAGCCGAACTACGCGGGTCGCCATTTTGTTTTGACCGGAAGTTCTCGCGCTACTCCTCTCTCTCTCTCTCTTTCTCTCTCCACTGCCCACAGACAAAATTGTACGCTTTTAGTAGGCTACAGTTATAAATTGTAATGGAACGTTTGTTCACGGCACAGAATTCTACAATTTTTCTGTTATCACAGTGTAGAATTCTGTGGTTTAGGGTGAACGCAACATTGGTTGGCCTAGATCTAGGCTATAACGGTGAACGCGCACCGGGTGAGAATAGCCAAAAGACTCGCCTGCACTATTCTCACCCCGGGTGAGAATAGAGGTGGCCATAGATCTTATATCATGGCCACAGTCACAGCCTACAGTACAGTAGGTTTGAATATTGATTGAATCAATGAATATCCAGCCTTTCAGCTCTGGTTCAATAAAATTACTCACCATCAACTATGTTGTGCCGTTTAGAGAGCAACTGAGGTGTCGATCTTGATCTGCTGGCTTTTTTTGCCATCAATGAATCCCATGTCATGATACTTTTACATCTGCTTTGAGCTGGTTTAGGGACTTCAGGAGAAATCTGTCGCCTCAGTAAATTTATAACTTGAAAATGAATGCTCTTCGTTCGAAACATGTTTGCAGATTGACCGTGAGCCGGTTGACTTGTCGTACTAAAGTCTACTTTTGATTTTACAGAGTTTCAGTTGCAGGATTACAGGATCCCGGATACAGAGATCTTCAGTCTAGTTTTGTTTTCTCGAACAGAAAACAGAGGACATCACGCAATCATGACAAAGTCGAAAGGAGTAGAGTTATCTTATCCTAACGTATCCGTACCGAGCCGCTGAGCATTGAATCGCCTATCTATCTAGATCTATATATATGCACTACAGCTTCGATTAATAATTTGATTTTAGTCTAAATTGAAGTCTCCTTTGATAATTCTACTAATTTCTAGCCTTTCTATATATATCAAACTAGGTTCCCAAGTGTTAGATCCAAGCAAAAGGAATCTGACATCATAGAAATGCATCTTATTGACAACCGGCAACCCATAACCATAGCCAGCAACCAACATATATGACAAAAAACGCCGTGTTGTGCTAATAAACACTTTAGAAGTGAGTGTCTAATTGACTTTTTGTTTTATTTGTTAGCTGCATTTTTCTATCAGAATTAGATCTAGAAAATCTAGTAAGTATTGCTTCGGTGACCATGCATGAACGCGTTACAATTGATGTTTGCTGTGACAGGAATTTCAACATCGAGAGCAAGAACTAGATCTAGCTTTCTAAGTGGGCGTTCTGGGTACTCTAACTCTAGCTGTGTTTTTATATTTTGCTGTAGGCTAATTTTAATTAAATTTAAATAGATCTAGAATCTAGATCTAGGATTTAATCAATTAGGCTAACAGTGCCCAGTCACAGTACTTTCAGGGCTCAAGCTTTGTGACAGTCTTGCAGTAACTCTATAAAGGTATCTTGGAAATTCAAAAAGTAACGTCGTATAGATCATAGGAGAACCCAATGACATCCTTTGTGGAGAACTACAAAATGAGAAGAAAAAAAGGATGCCCTTGGCCTTGGGAAATACAAGGCCTTCAGTTAAACCTCTTCCAAAGCTTATTTTAGAGCCTGGGAGATAACAACCATTGTTAGACTTTCCATTCTAGTCTTCTATTTCATGTAAAGAGACAAAAGGTGACACAACATCAACAATGCAGGACACTTTAGGCCTACTTTGCGTTCATGGCAACTTTGGCCTTTTAAACAGCTCACCAGCCTTTAAATCTCTTCATACAGCTGTGGACATGAAAGTGAGATAAGTGGGCCCAACTGGCTACAGAACAAATGCCACTTTCTGTTGTGGAAAAATAGTGCCCACTGCTGTAACTCTTTAAGAATTAAATGTTCTGTGCGTTGATCTTTTTGCGCAAGCTGAAACCAGTAGGCCTACTCATTATGCACAGAGGTGAACTGATGTTTTAAGAACAACTAAGCAATCTTCTCTCAGTCCTCCTCCAACATCCTTTTCTGTCTTGAATATTTTATGCCCACAGCTCCATACTTTTCCTTTTGATTCTTATAGTTTTATTAACTTTTACAAGTCTTTGAGCTTCATGCTTTGTGGAACCCAAGTTAAGTATGAAATGTGTATACATTTGTAGGCCATATTTATAGCATTTAAAAAGTTTCAAATTACACCTTGCCTTACAAGCGTGAATTACAATTTTAATAAACGAAGAAAAATGGTGTATGAGGACACGGTACAATTGTAGTACAGACAAGCAGCTATGTGAGACTGCGTGGTGAAATCAAGCACTCGTTAAAATAATGGAAGTGAAGAAACTGGCATTTTTCCGCAGGTATGGGAATTTTTATCAAAATTTTGTTTTTTGTCTCAACACCTTTCATGCTCATGAAAGAACACATTTCTGTGTGGATTTTATTATTAAAAAACAACTTTGATTAAAGGCATAAATAAAAGATGTATATTTTCAGTTTCCACGAACTCTCAAACTAAGGATATTTCCGCAACTTTGGCTGTCATTTTCTCGCTAATTTTATCTCTGAAACCAGGCGACCCCACCTACTTCAATTGCCATTATCTTCACATGTATCTAAGATAAATGGATATTTTGTCCATTGAAAGCAAGGCAAATGGACAGGGTTTAAGATGATACCAATAACTCCATATATATTTATATGTGTGCCAAAAATTTGTCGAGGGCCTGATTCCACCGCGTTGTGACTCATATTTAGTATTATGATTAATGAGGAAAACAAGAAAAAAAACAAGAGGCCTATGCAGTTGAAAAAATTAAGTGCTACTTCTACTAAGTGGTATTAATTTTTGTTCTGATGATTCCAGGTGGAAGAATTCTTATCAACTTCAAAGGAAAGATGTTGCAACTTATTTCAATGATCGTCCTTGGTCTGAGTTCTCCCTCCTTCCAAACAAATGATTTACTGGTCTCAAGCCCATCTGGCGTGTTCAAGGGAACTCAGCTAACTGCTCCCAGTGGCCTGAGTTTTGTTGCCTTTAGAGGTATACCATATGCACTTCCACCCGTTGGAGAACTTCGATTTGGAAAACCACGGCCGCATCCGAAATTGGAGGTAGGAATATCGTTTATTAAAAACAATTCTCTTCATTTTTGGGTTTGGGAATTAACAATAGGCAGAATGGTTTTTTTGTAAACTCAAGCAGTTACAGCTTTTATACGAACTTGATTTTATAATACAGTTGCAGGCGACAGTGAATAACATGCAATTACAAAGGAAGAAAACGCAGGAAACAAATCTGTCTTCTTGCCTTGATATGTGCCTGTTCAAGTATGTTGAAAATGTATCAAAACTGGAGTTGAATGAGGCCAGTTACCACACTTACAACCGGAGAAATGTTGGACTATGGTGGGGATGACCCTAGTACGAATCCCCATTGGGGCATTCTTTAATTTGGGTTGTTCTCAGAGCTTTCAAGACTCCCTAAGCTGCCCACTGGACTCATATTATATCTTATAGGAGATGAATGGTACATTTAGGGATCTTGCCTTTACTTTTAAACATTGTCTCAGAGTGTTGAAAGTAGCGATGGACCCATACTGCACTATAACTTATCTCCCTTTTCCTTTTTCTGCCCAGCCAAAGACTCTGCCTTTGAAATAACCTATTTTTGTGTCCAGCAGAGTTGTAAACTACACTAAAGACACTCTTCTTCCTCCTCCTCCTCCTCTTCCTCCTCCTCCTCCTCCTCCTCCTCCTTCTTATACTCCTACACCTTCTCCTCCTCCTCCTCCTAATAACTCTTTTTTTTATCACAGAATGTTTACGATGCCACTAAGGAAGCTCCAATCTGCCTTCAGCCCTCCGGAGTTGACATTGGAAGCCCAGGCCAGGAGGACTGCTTGTATCTCAATATTTTCAGACCTGTTAGACTGTTTGAGGTTGGTCTATGAAAATGTCAGTTAAATCTGTTTGTAATACTGTTTGTTTTTGTGTCCTGTGAATAATAGAACATGTACTGGGATCAAACTGCTGCAATGAGAATAGAAAACGACATCAGCGAATACATACAGATTAAAAGAGGAGTCAGACAAGGATGTGTACTTTCAGCAGAAAAACTCCCACCCCAACATGCAATATCAAAATCAATGATACCACCCTCAATCAAGTAAAACATTTTAAATATTTGGGGACTATTATATCATCAGATGAGAGATGTCACACCGAAATTAAAAGCCGCATTTGCCAAGCAAAAGCAACCTTCCACAAAATGAAACAGATACTCACAAACATCAATCTGTCACTGGAAACGAGAAAAAGAGTACTGAAAAGTTACATCGAGCCAATCCTGTTATAAGGGTGCGAAGCATAGACAATCAATAAACAGCTGGAAAAAACAATTGTGGCGACAGAGTTGTGGTTCATAAGACGCATGCTAGGTATCCCACGGACAGCTAGAAAAACAAATGAAGAAGTCTTGGTTGAAGCAAATTGCAGAAGACAGCTTATGACGAATATAAGAAAGCAACAGGCAAATTTCTTCGGACACGTAATGTGGAAAAAAACATTGGAGAATATTGTAACAGCAGGCAAGTTTGATGGAAAGAGAGGCAGAGGCAGACAGAGGGAAAAGATACTGGACAAGATGACAACATGGCTAGGAGCAGCAAGAACAACAGACACCATTGCTGCAATGCAAGACAGAGTGAAGTCGAGGTCCATGATTGCCCACGCCAGTCGGCAAGGCACCGGATGAGGATGATGAATAATAGACATCTTCTTCTGGCGCTCATATGACCCTATGCAGTTGCGAGCATCGTAAAACTTCTACTAAAAGTAAAAGACATCTTCTCTCTATGCTATATTCTTTGTCCCAATATTGTTTAACTCCTTATCTCCGGCAAGTAGCTCGCAGCGGCTGATAGTGGTCAGAAGTGCGTGCCGATCGGCCGCTGGCAACTTCAATGTCAAATTACTTTTCGGCAATTGCCAAAAACAGGTCTCTTTTACCGGGAGTTCATTTTTTAGACGAAGAACTATCAAAATTGGTTCACTTGTTTTGTTTTGATTTAATGAGCAATCTAGTTACGTATATATTTATGTCACTTTTAGATTTCATACCAGAAGAGGGCCCTGGCATTGTGGGATTAGCCCCCCCCCCCCAACCTCGGAGATAAAGAGTTAAGTTGAAGTGAGCATTGCTTTGTGGTCAAAATCCACTCCGACATTGCGACAGTATTTTTTTGTTTTTATGATCTGTAGAACCAATATAAGCTAAAAATATATTTGTTTTCTAATTTGAAGAAACCTGTGACTCTGTGTGACACCATCATACAGTCCGTGCCGGCTATAAGCACGCCGGCTTAAAGCACGTTTCGGACTTAAGTCAAGCACGCTAAACGGCTCTTACCGAATTTTTGCTATATAAATTACACGCCTTTAAGCACGCTTCATTTACAAGACAGTCAATACTTTTATGATGACCCATCGAAGTTCGAACACAGTCTACATACTGCAGCAGTGGAGTGTTGTAAGAGAAACACAGAGAACGCAAGTGATGGAGACACACACTCACACGGGCGGAGAGGAAGGCAGGGAGATGAACACAGCCGTGCGCGTGGACATAGGATCTAGCCTAGGGCAAAGTTACACACTGACTAAAAAATACAAAGAGAGTCAGGGAGACGAGAAAGGGAGGCTGGCTGCGATTTCACCTTTGACCCTCGCTATCCGATAATCCTGATTGTGTATCACGCGCGAGGTGAGATGAAGGCGGTGGTATGAATGTGGCACAGCGGGCAGTGGTACGCACAGGCAGCGTGTAGGCCTGCTAGTGTGCTGTATCGTGACTGGCCTTCTAAATTAAGTTTTCATTTCCCATTCGACCTCAAAACAAAAACAAACAAGCAAACAAAAACTACCATGGCGGGTAAAAATAACAGTGCACACTTTTGCGGGACCGCTATAGGCCTACTTACAAACAAAGGGAAAAAGCACAGGAAATTTTCTACATGAAAATCTCTGGATTATGTCTACTTCGCACTCAAGCACGCTTCGGATTTAAACACGCTTATGCTTTCTCCCGATTACCGTGCTTAAAGCCGGCATGGACTGTATAAAGTACTAGTTCAGCTGTTGTTATTATTTTATTTTATTTTTTATTATTATTATTATTGTTATATATTATTATTATGTATTATTATTATTATTATTATTATTATTATTATTATTATTACCACCATTATCTTTCAGCTTGCATTGGGATAGAAAAAATGTATTGATATTTAGAAAAATTGTTACTTTCATTATGTCATAAAGCCTGTGTCGCAAAATGAGACAGCTCTTACTGTTTTGTCATTTAACAGGGGCTTGTTAGTTGACTCTGAAAAATATAATATTTTGTGTTAGATCACTGTTTTCGTCCATTGCTTGTTCACTAATATGGACCCAACCCCAGCTCTTGAACTGATTAATACTTTTTGTCCACTTAAGATAAAGCTATGCATAAATAACTGATATAGGCCTACAATTTATGCACAAATTTGTAGAAATCAATATCAAGTTGACTAATTTCCCACATGTTCTGGCTGTCTGAATTTCCGTTGATCACCATATTTTCATTTCCATTATTGCAGAAAACCAATCAAGGTCTGAAAAAAGTTTTGGTGTACATACATGGTGGTGCCTTTTTCATGGGTTCAGGCAATGAATATGTTCCTGGTGATTTTGTTGCTCAGGTAGGTACCAATACTTACATTAAACATCATTTGATTCTGATCTTTTGAACTCTTATTTTCCAAACAAATTTAATTTTTTTGAGTTATGTATGTCTTTTTGTCTGTGGTATTTATTTAATGATATGGTTGTTAGTCATGTCAAAGAAACACATGATTTTGTTGTGTTTCCTTGGAAGGTCAATTGATTGTTAATAATTTCAGAGTAAGTGACTTGGATGTGGGTGGTTTTCTACATATTTTTCAGAAGCTCCATACAACAATTTAAAAAACTGGTAAAGGCACTTGCACATTTAATTAATTTTCTGATATATTGGAGGGGGGAGGGGGAGAAAGGTTTTGATATATAGATATATCTTTGTTTGAAGATCTAATGTCATCACCATCCGAGTACAGCCATAGTTGCTGTCCTGCACTTCAAAAATGCGTTCTGGGTCCTCTCCCCTACCTGTTGACTCCTCTTCCTCAGTTGCCCAGTTTTTCTTCAAGAGTGTCACTCACTGTTTTACTGCCTTCTAGTTCTAGGTTATCAGAATATTTTTTTCCACCGGAGTTGATGCGCATGTCCATTTTAAACATTACAAAGCCTTTCTTTTTTTTTCTACCGACAGAAGACGCGTATGTTTTTCAGGTCAACATGTTTCTCTTTTTCTCAAACAACATCCTGCGTGTTTGCAGGGTGATGTCATTGTGGTCACACTGAACTACCGGCTGTCGTGGCTTGGGTTTCTCAAAGGGAACACTCCACAACTGCCCGGGAATCAAGGATACTGGGACCAGCTGATGGCTCTACAGTGGGTCAAGGACAATATCCAATCTTTTGGAGGAGATTCAGACGATATAACTTTAGCTGGACAGTCTATGGGAGGAGAAAGTGTTTCAGTGTGGAGCATTGTCAATCAGAGCAGGAATTTATTTACGAAGGTGAACTGGGTTGTCAATTTGTACATTTATTTTGTGGGGAGTTTTAGAATTATAAAGTTCTCATAATTTGCAAGTATTTAGATTAACATGTTTTTGTTGTAAACTGACTTGTTAACAGTGATATTCAAAATAACTTCGTAGTCTTCATCAAACTTATTCAAGACAGCATTTGCAACAGCTTAGGAATAACTTCTCTTTCAAAATGCTCCCCATAAGTAAGAATTTTTCACATATATACTGTGAAGTTGAATTGTCATATTACATGTGTACATGTACATGTTACTTAAAGTCTGGTGTACCATTTTCTTGTAGCTATGCCAATCGGGCTTCTGCGCACGGTGAAAATTTGGTCCCTGTTTGCGGGTGAATTTTTGGACCAGGTCGGAACGATAGCGACTTACTTTCTCGAGCTCGTTCTGCGCTATTTCTTGACTAATGTGAAGGAAACTTGGCAACCAATTAGAAAATAGGGCAAACTAATGATATGTGGAAGTCGAAGTTCGTACACATAAATTAACCTATACTTTTGGTGTCGGAAACACTTTCGTATCGGATACACCAAAAACTTTAAAGAGTCCGATATTCGACGCCGAGATGGTAAGAGATCCATCTTTCCTCCATAGTGTGTTCAAATCTGTGTCAAGTAGTTGTACAGAATTTATCATAAATGCACGACTACCCCCCTGTCAAAAGCGGCATCGCACGGAGACCGGCCATTTCCCCCTCACTCCCAATGCAAATGTGTGTGACCTACAAATCCCTGCTTGACTATTCCGAGCCTGTTCATTGGTCACTTGAAATAGAGCAATGGCGGGCGCCCGCATCCGGTTGTTTTTCTTTCTGTTCCCCTGTAACCTGGCAATGGGGGTATTTGGGGTGTTCGCGTCTCAACGGGAAAAAAGGGGTTTTAATTGAATTAAATGATATATTATGGTTGGCATGGTCTAAAGTCGTCAAAGAAAGCTTTGCCATTATTAAATCACGCTGCCAACATATTCTTAAAGATCCCATGTTGTGATACAATGCTATAAATAAAATGCTCTCATCTTGACACCCCTTTTTCGCAAAATCGAAATTTGTACACCAAAATTTTAATTATAACAAAATAACTACGAAATGGTTAGTAAATCCGACTGCAGAAATGATTTCTCCACCCAAAAACACATTGGGTAGCCAAGTTTCTCCTTAGCAGTCCAGTTAATTACTGAGATATCGTCGATTTTCTTACCGCAGCTGCTACTACATACATGGTCCACTTTTAGGAGTATTAATTGTGGGTCATCCATATTTTGCCAACTTTTACAACCCAATAACTTTTTTACTTATGAACCGATTCTTAAAATTCAAAAAGCATTATTCTTAGAAATGAAAACTCTTTCTTAGGTACCAAATAAAAAAGGCCTAAAGCGAAAAATTAAATTTTCATTGGGATTGCTATTTCTTGTTATACAATTTGGCACACACATAGCGAAATTGACTGGACACAAAAAATCTTTTCATTATGATGTGCAGATTTTACTAGGTGCATGTTTTGAAAAAAAAAGGTCACACATGTAAAAGGAAAAAATGGGGACCCACATGAGTGCTTGACTGTACTTACACAGAAAATACTACTTTTCCACGTAATCACTAACATTGTACCACAAATTTCAGGGAATTGTGATGAGTGGCACCATCTTCACTTGTCCCTCCACTCAAGGTTCATCCGATATTCTCCTAGACCTTCTTGTAGACAGAGTTGGATGCAGGCCAATGAATCAAGATGCCAAGACACTTTCTAAGGAGTGGTCAGAGGAGGAAGTATCGAGTGTTATAACTTGTCTGCAAAGCCTCCCATCTGAGACGTTCCAGTTGCCTCCTGAAGGAAGCCTCACAAACAAGTTTACAAGTATTGATGGAGAGTTGTTTCCTGCATCTTTTAGTGAACTTGTGACTGATGTTAAGTACTTATCTGACGTTGGATTCTTCTCAAAGTCTTTTCTTGTTAGCCTGACCAATAATGAAGGTGCTCCATTGACTAATGGAATTTTTGCAGCAGAAGGAGGTAAGCTTTACAGAATGCATTGTGAGTTTATTTTATGTAGCATCTTGGTGGCTATTATGGTATTGTTTTTATTTTCAAGTAGCTTGAGTGTTTTTTAAGATATGCAAGTAAATGCTGTCAGTAAATTTCAAGAGTAGAATATTACATCGAGTATGTGGAAAGATATACAGTTGAGTTTGCTTTAACTAAAAATCTGAAAACCGCAGTAAACCGAATGAAAATAAATTTACTTTATTGGGTGATATTTTCAGACCTGCCACTCTTCCCAATTTAATCGGGATATTCCAATTTTTTGCCATAAATCTCAAGCATTCCAATTTTCCCCGATTTCGATTGCGTGTATCCCTTTTTTTTTTGGTGTCGTCTGTTGCGTGGGATTTTTCCTAAAAACTTTCTCTGCCTTTTTCTCTGTCGCGGGAAGCACCTGTTAAACCTTTTGTCAGCAGGAACTTGGAGCACTATTTTCCTAAATATCAATGCCAGATTTAGTAGTTAACTTGCCCCAAGTTTTGTTGGATCTTTGCTCCCACGTTTTATTTCAACTATAATGGAAGTAGTATCGAGTTGGCATTCTGACTTGGTACATTCTCAAGATCTAAGCTACTCTCGCTTATGTTTCCACTCAGAATTCTCCGATGATGGTCTAATAACTGTTTCAATTGAGAATACAAATGATCAATATTATTCTTACTTCTGCTGTTACTTTTTTTAAAACTTTGTCCGAGTTCTGGTTAGTTGGAGTAAGGCCTATCATCAAGACCCATCAGTAGGACTGTTTCAATCGTGCATTCACATCACGTAACATGACTTTGACGTGCGACTTCGGCGCGTGTGTCGGGGCCCGTCCGTTGACTGGGTCAACTTCAGTTCATATGCACACTGGTTAAAGCATCTTTAGGGATTTATATCGGAGAGGGGGAGGGGGATTGTAGACACTTGGACTAGGAGTACTTGACTTAATACATCAGGATTTTTTTAAAACCGACACACACACACACACAGAGGGATATGCATGTATATACATGAATTTAAGGAAAAACCTGTGAAATTTTAAACAAAATTTGCTGTCACCTTGGTGATTTGTGGCTGATCCCGATTTTTTTTCCCAAATCCTGATTTTTTTCCCCTGCGATCCTGATTTTTAGATGTCATAGAGTGACAGGTCTGGATTTTTGTTTTGAGGAGTGCTGTTGCAAGAAAGGACTATTTCCACATTCTCTGATGAGTACTGTTTAATATTCTCCAGCATGTATACTGCTATTCGAATGGAAAACCTAATACTAATACACGTACCATGCATACGATCAGGGTCAGACTGACATTTTTAATGTGTCTATTTAAATGAAAGTCCTGCACCTTTCTATCAAAGTTTGGTATCAGTAATCTACAAATATGAATATATCCCACAAACATGATCATGATTTGACACTTTTAACGAAAGTAATAGGATTAATATCTTTTTTTATCTCCTATTTGCCGAAAAAAACATGATCTTGGATTTTTCTTGATTTTCAGTACAAATAGCAGTGCAGCGACTGGTGAATATTGGCCTAATGATATGCACTGCCTGCCTGCATGTGAAGCCTTGAGTCCAGCATGTACTGACAATGTTGTAATCTTAAGAAACTAAGAAGCACACAAGTGATAAGTCAGTGATGGGAATCTGGTTTCCTGTTGTAATTTTTATGCTGCAGTTTGGGATTCCATCACTAAGCCCATGATAGTGTTAATTGAAAACTGCCATGAATAGAAAACACCAAACTCTAACTCTAAGAAAAGATATCCAAGCAGTGGTTATCTTCTTTGCTGCTGCATGCGGAAGATTTGAGTTCAATCCCTGAGTGGGAAAGCTATTTCATCATATATCTCAGAATGTCTTGTAGGATACTGTATCCCACTTAGTGCAGGCTAACCTTGACAGACTTGGTCAGACAACTTTTCCCTGAAATGAACTTGATTTTGTTGATAAAGATGTAAACTGTATACAAAAAGTTCTTATTTTCCATAAAATAGTCTTGAGAAACAGTTTGCGAACAAACTGACCTAGTCTTTGGAAGCAAAGTTTTTGTTTTATTTCAAGGTTCCTGGTTCTACTCTTCTTTATTGTTATTATCTGCTAAAGTAAGCACTTTTAAAAATTTCATCTTGCACAGCTGACGAGACTGAAAAGGAATTCTTAAGCAAGAAAGTCAGAGTGCCACTACCAGTGATTGAAAAGGCCTATGAATCATACAGTCAGCCAGAGGTCTCGAGCATCAATAAAGTGCATGATATTTGGTCGGACCCCATACTGGCAGTACCTACTTTTGATTTCTTGAGGATTCACACTTCAAAATTCAAAGGTGACCTTTTAGTTTTAAAAGCGTGTAATTTATTTTTTTTCCACATTAACTTCAAATGGAAGTGATACAAACAGTAAGAATTGTGTTGACTTAACTAAGGCTAACAATGTTATTAGGGCCTGCTTTCAGGGTTTTAATTTGATGTGCCTTTTCAATATTTACTTCATCTTGTGTTGAAAAAGATTGTTTTGTTGATTTCTGACTAAACACGTTTACTGCAATTGTTTCTACCTCATTTGTACTCGTTCTGATCGTAGAAACGGCATAATTTCAGTCAGTTTAAATGATAGTACAGTAGTTTCCACCTAAGATCCCACCGCTTTTGATCCCAGTTTGCTTAAGATTCTGCTGTTTTAAGAAAACAGAATTTTTACTATACAAAAGCCTCCCCTAAGATCTCACTCTGGTTCACTGTGAAAGTTTCATACGATGAGGGTTCAATAAGTCTTTGGTCTGGGTATGAAGAAATGATGGTAGAGTAATAAAATTTTGCCAGCCTTTTGACAATTTTTTTGGAAAACACCATTCAAATTTTAGTGAAAATCCGACTGTAATAAGGCACTAGTCAGCGTGTTCAATGAAACCATGCACAAAAGTGTTTGGTGTTTCTTTGCTGAAGCTGTACCATGGAGCCTGTTGAATATATCGCTTAGTTATCAAGTTTTTACACTTGCAAGGAAAATCCCCTGCGGACATTTTTCCGGAAATGGTCCAAGTTTATGGTGACAAATGTCCTCGTTATAATACTGTGCCATACTGTGTAAGCAAATTCAAATCTGGATTCATGTCGGTGATGGATGAAGATCGTGAAGGGCACCCATCCTTTGTGGTAATTGAAAAGAATGTATCCAAAGTGAAGAAACTGGTTTTACAAGACTGATGTATAACTGTTAAACAGCTCTCAAGTGACACGGGAATCAGTGTAGGGTCAGTTGAAACGATTCTCCATGACCGTCTTAACATGAATAAGATGTCTGCGCGGTGGGTACCCCGCCTTTTGACAAGTGAGCAAAAGAAGCAGAGGGTTGAGTCCTGCAAAACTCTCTTTCGAATTGAGTCCAGTGACACAAATTTCTTTAAAAACATGGTGATTATGGATGAAACATGGATTTATCATTTTGATCCAGAACAAAAATTGTCCTCCATGCAATGGAAACCCCCTTCTTCTCCCTCACCAAAGAAAGCAAAGGTAACACCGTCAAGTGGAAAGGTCATGCTGTCGTGTTTCTGGGATTGTGAAGGTATCATGACTGACTACCTGGAAACTGGAAAAACAGTCACAGGGGACTACTATTCGGGTTTGCTGATAAAATTGTGGTCCGAATTGGTGAGAAAAAGATGTGGAAAACTCCGCAATGGAGTCCTCCTATGGCATGACAACGCCCCTGCACACAGAGCACAACAAACAGTCCAGACAGCAGAACAGTGCGGCTTTGAAATCCTGCCACACCGGGCTTATTCACCAGACCTAGTCCCTTCTGACTTTTTTCTGTTTCCTAATCTTAAAAAACCTCTGAATGGACGTCATTTCCATGACAATGAAGACACCATTGAAGCTGAAGAAGACTGGTTAGGAGCCCATTCTGGGTCATTTTTTTCTCAAGGATTTTTAAAGGTCAAAGAGAGGTGGCAGAAATGTGTTACTCCGCATGGTGACTAAGTAGAGAAATGAAAGTATATGTGCCAAGTTACAAAGCTCTGTCTTTATTCCTTCATATTTAGACCAAAGACGTATTGAACTCCCTTGTATTAGGCTGAAATCCCGCATTTCAGATCATAATTTATGGAACAAAAACGTGGGCGGGCACAGCTGACTAACCAAGAGTGAAAATTTGCAATCATTGAACTATCCGTTGCATCATAGATCAACCACTCTTGTTTATGTGATCACATTTGCTACCAAAAAAAACCATTTATACTTATCTTGGGGGTTGGCCCCTCTATTTCTTTGTGTTGGTTTTAATCCCAGAATAGCCATTATATGATGTATAACATTATGAAAATATGAACGATTGTTTATGTGGATGTCAAATGTGCTTCGTACACACCATTTTCCTTTTTAGTGTGTATTGTTTGCTTTAGTTCCATAAGACAGACTCTTATATTCTTATTATTTGTTGTTTATCTCACAGGGATGACTCCAGAAGATGCAGCAGGGAAGTCATACTTTCTGTATTTTGACATCTTTCCAAGTTTCTTGCCTGCTCCTCATGAGGGGACATTTCATAGCTTTGATCTAACGTATCTGTTTGATCTTCAACCCAGCTATGTTTTGAAATCGTTTTACTCCCTTGAAACAAATGAGACTTTTACTGCTGAAGATGTCCAGTTGAAGTCTTCATTGATCAAAATTGTAACCGACTTCATGGCATCTGGGTGAGTGAGGCTAACTACATTTTTTTGGGTTCCCCCTTGACACCCCCCCCCCCCCCCCCCCACCTTCCAACCACCACCACCATCTAACTGTGGTTAATTTTTTTGTAAGTGTAATTTTTACAATACAGACTTTCATCTCAGGCTATGGATTGTGGTTCTAGGTCATATGAGCATAATGGAATTTTAAAAATATATTTAGGTTACACCTTTTGTCGATAAAATTTTTTAAGATAAATGATAAATAAATAATAAATTATATTTTATTGATCCCCGTTGGGAAATTTTGGTTACAATGGCAAACATACATATATGTAAACATAATTAAAATTATGTACATAAATACACACATAAAATACATACATAAATACGCAGAATTTTTACTACACCAAAGTCATCCCTAAGATCCCGCTCTGATTCACTGTGAACATCTACATTCGGCTAAGATCCCACATTTCAGGTCATAATTTGGGGAACAAAAACTCAGGCAGACACAGATAATCAACCAGGAGTGAAAAGTTGAGATCATTGAATTGCCCGTCATGTAAAAGATTAGCCTTTCTCATGAATGTGATCACATGTGCGTTGTAAAACTCGATGAAACAGTACAATGTTATCCCCTGACAGGATCACACCAAGGTGTGAACTGACTGTCATGTTTGTTTTCCCCAAGCTTTTCACCTTAACTTACATCACACGCTGGATGGGTATGGCCTACAAGTTTGCTCCAGGGGGGATCTCATCAAACTGTGAACTCTTCCCTGACAATTGCAACAGTTGTCTCTACTCCCAAGTTTGCAAGATAGACTGAATTTCGATTGGTGTGGTCACAACGTAATGATGATGTGTAAGGACAAAGGTGGGGAAACTCTTGTCAGAGATGAAAAGCTATAAATTTTGGACTGGTAAAGGGGAGAGGCAACTGGATAAGCATAGATCTTGAGACTCACGATAGAATAATAAGAGGAAATGGCATGCCTCTTGCCATTGTGATTGGTCATCAAGGTTGACCACTCTTAGTCCGCCATATGTCATAAACCCACCCAGGGGTCATTTTAGTTCATTTTAGAATGGAGGGGGACCATTTTACCAGTTGTGGGTCTTATTAACATGGGTCACCATAGATTCTTCCCTTAGTGCGTCGGCTAAAATCCCGTTCACTTAAGATCCCGCATTTGCCTCACTCCCGAGCACCAGGATCTTAGACGGAGACTACTATAAATATATAATTCACCCAACTCAATATTCATTCAATACGTGGGGTAAAAAAAGCTGATGAGAGCAGAGAAATCACAGGATAGCAGAGGAATAAAAATGTCATAGGGCATAATTATGCCTAGCTCATTTTTTTTGTACTCTTTAGGAAGTTAACTTTATTCCGTTGGACATGCATGAGAGAAGTCAGGCGTTAATTCAGTATGTTAACTGTTTAACAAAACAAAGGAATTGAAAAAAATTTTCATTTTGAAATAATATAAGTCTAACGAGTTTTACATGGGTGGTTTTTTTTCTTCACAGAAATCCCGGTGTGACCCTGGCTGAGAACTTGAACATGGAATGGCCTCCTTATGAGGAAGAATCTGAATTTTACCTGAACTTCAAACCTGATTTTGCTGTGGCTCAGTTCCCTATCAAGGCAAGAAGAGATATCTGGACTGACTTGTTTCCAAAGTGGATGAAAGAATTTTCAGAGTCATCTCAAAGGAAGACCGAACTGTAGAGTAACATTATGACGACTGTACTATCAAAAGTCTTGTTTGAAATATTATGTCTTTAATAAATATCAGTATTATGTCATTTATTCCCACAATGTTTAGGACACTAAAATTATTATAGCAAACACAAGCTTCGCTAAAGAAGGATAAAGTAAATTTGAAATAGTGCACTTGTGGAAACATCATTCTATCTCTAAGACTAAGAGAAGAAATTGTGATTCAGAATTTTGAAAGCTTTGCCTTAAGAAGAGGAGAAACAAATATTATGTTTAATTGTTGTACCAATAACTTAAACATTTTTTTTCTCATAATTTGGACTAAAGAAAACACATCTAAAGATTTTGTTGAATCTGATCATGAAGACTTTTCAGATCTGCAGATGAGAATCTCATTAAGAGTGCCCACAGTGAAGTCTAACAAGTTGGATGGAAGAGCTTTTTCTTCCTCTATGTCCCAAAAATTTGGCATTCCCTCTCAAAAGAAATGAGTATTATCATAACGTCAGAGAGAGATTCAAAGTCAAATTATAGTCTAAAGACACATTCGTTCAACACTGTCCTGACAGTAAATTTTGTATCGTGAGAATGTGTGTGGGTCTGGGATTTGTGGGTGCATGCATGTGTGTGTGTGGATATTTTGTCCTTCGATTCATGAGTTGAGTAATCCAAGATGGCCGCCACAGAGACCTATTTTTCAGTAAAAATCAATAAATTCACCCTTGATACATCCTATTTACCTATGAACTTCTTACACAATTACATGAAAGTGAACAAAAGTCATTCGTTTAGAAAATTTTTCTGGGAGCGTACGTCTCCCCTTAAGGATTAGGGCTATATTAATTCCCATTATTATTATTATTATTTGCACTTAAATCCCAATCTTTCAATTTCTTTGCCGACACCAGGGGCCAGCCACTTACAGGCTCAATGTACTCACTGAGAAACCTTTGTACTTACATTCTCGTTTTCTTTGTCCTTTGTTCTTTTTGTACTTGTATTCAGAATCAGATTTTAAGTTGTTATAAAGACTTTGCATGTTGGGCACTTAGTACGATTTGTGTGTGATGGTTTTGGAGTGAATTTATCACTTCTCTGCCTGTTCTTGCTGTGTGTAGGGCGCTCATGAGGGAATACTCTCAACATTGCTTTTTTTTATTATGCGTAATCTGTATGCTCTTTGTAGTCAGAATGGGACCAATATTATATCTGGAATGAATAATTTCTCATTAGGTTGCAAGGTTTCACTCTTATACTTATTAATTACCACTTGTCTGTGAGTTTAGTTTTTCTTTTTGTTTCAAAGTCAGAGGTATTTTGTGCACTAAGGCTTTTTGAATCAGGAAATGTTCTGATTTTCTCAACATTTTTCAGTGCATGTCTCATTGTAATTCAGTCTTAACTTTAATCATATAGACTGAACATAGCCTTTGTCCCTACTTGAACGAAAGTTCTAATCTATTCACTTTATTATCAAATTGCAAATAACATTTATTTCATACTTCAATCATTGCTGCCATGACAGTGGAGGTCACTTAAACCGAAATCTGCAGGGCCTTTGGGTTTTCTTCAGTTTTAGTCATATTTCTGATCTAGAGAAATTGCTCAAGGACTGGAAAAACTCTTTGCTCTTTGCCATTTCAATTTTTTCTCATCCAGTGATGACTGTCAATGAGGTAGAGTTGGGATTACCAATATCATGCTCGGAGAAAATTTCACTTTTCGAAAGTTTTCTTCTCATTTATATCTTTCAGAAATTGTCATTGGGGCTTCAGGGTGTCTGTTTTGTGCACTCTCTTCGACATTGCCGGCTTGCTCAATCAGCTGAAGTCATAAAAAATAGTAGCAAGAGTAGATCAGCATACTGTAGAGTTACTGTAATAAGAAGTATAGAAGGCCCAATGCCAGTGTTGTGATGAAACACAGAGACAGTAGGCAGAGACAATAGGCCATGACCCATCAGAGATCTTGCAACAGACATACATTCGCTATCCTTGTGTCACTAAACTTATACACAATGTGTAGGCCTATTAATATTACAGTGGAGTCCACTTATAACGAGTCCGGAAAAAATGAGAAGACACGATTCTAAAACCCCGCTTTTTTCTCTTCTTTACCTTTGTAAATAAAAAACTGTATAGCGCAATCAGACAAACATGCGAGTCGTTTATAGCGGAATATAGCTGCTGCTGTGCACAGTGCATGGGCCAATTATACATAAAGTAAAACCTCGTCAGTTGAAAAAGTTGTTGGTGATCTAGCGAAACAAAGAATGGGAGAGCCCATGTGTGCCAACAATGAATGCCGGAGCAACTGAGTAGGGAGGGTCCAGTGTAAGCCTAGTTTAGATTATCAAGGCCTACCATGCCTCTCACTTCTCCGATGCGGGGATGGAGAGGTCACAGTGCTGTGATGGATGGAGCGAATGTATGACGTGCGCAAGCAGACAGAGGGCACCACAGGGTGGGGTGGGGTGGGGGAAAACACAGTGGGCAAGTTAGCCCAGAGCCCTTTCTTTCTGATCGCCAACGCCGAGCTGTCAGTTCACATCGCTAGATCTAGCGCTAGAGAAAGAAACCTGATTCGATTTTTGATCAAGTAAGACCTAGAGGTCATGTTGAAACAAAATCATCATCAGGGGAGATAGCAAAAGGAAATAAACAGAACACCAAACTCATAGATTAGGCCTACCTTACAGTTTCCCTTGAATTTATTACTGGATCCCTTATATAGCGAGAATCCTGCTATAACGGACATTTTGCTCCGGTCCCCCCCCCCCCCCTCTCGTTAAAACAGGATTCCACTGTACTAGCTGGGCCCCCTTTCGATGAAAAGGATGATCGGTGCATTAACATCAACTGAAAGTCATTGGCCTACTATATTTACACTCTACTGGAATGGAGAAATACATTTTGAGAGATGCAAAAAATTAGGTGTAGATCTAGATCTATACTCGCGAAACAAAATGCGCCTCGCAAAATATCACTTCTGCACGGGATTTTCTAAAATTGCAGAGACAGAAGCATCGGCCTACGAAGCGATTGGCGAAATAAAGAAATTTAGCTTTTTGCCGCAAAACTGTCTCAAAACTGAAAAAATGAAGGGCGTCATGATCTGGAGAATATTTTAAATAATTTTTTGGCAAAAACCGCATGTCGATGGATGCAGCCATTAAAAAGCCTTTTGAATAGCAAAATTTGGCCTCCACAAATAGATAATAGACTATCTTGAAGCGCCTAAGAACACTTAAGATTTGGTGATTCGGGTTACTTGACAAGTTGCTAGTGAAGAATTGGACAACTTAATCCTCAAAATTCTTTTCGGTTTATAAATAGGACCATTTTTTTAAAGCAAATCTGCAGTTTTCTTACAAAGACACAGCAGAAGAAAAAAATCAGGATTCTGTTTCTTTCCTGATTACCCCTGTTTTTTGGATTAACCATTTTCGGCTTAGGCGATCTCCACTGTGTTAGAATTAGATCTGCTATGAAAAGCGTAACTGTGTTCACTAGGTATGAGTATGAGTGTGAAGTACTGGTCTTTCAAATTAATGATGTCTTACTCGGCTATCACTATTGTTGCACTTGTTATTTTTTAGCTTTCAATTGTATGTTTTATAGATTTAAGACCTGGAAGTGCAAGCCAGCTTGCTTTAGTATTTAGTCCACCTTGTTCATGTATTCATGGTATTTGCATGTTTAAACTTTTTTTTTGTTATCCCTGAACTGTTCCATGTTTTGGAGATTTTCTCCAAGCCTTCCATTGATATAATGCTCAAGAGAAAAATAGCATTTTCATTATACAAGTAATATTAAACAGTTGCCCAAAGTATTTGTTCCTGTTATATTCTTTGTTAGTTTTTTAAAGTTTATTTAGTTTACAACTGTTGTTTTCAGTGAGAAAAGGGTGAAACTCTAGCAGACAATTGTAAATAATTAAATGGAAATATACCTCCAATTCCATGAACACTTCGTCCAAAGAGTTATCAAAAGTCAAACTTTTTTGTAAAGATTAATAAATGTAAATCCTTGGCTGATGGCAATAATATCCAACTGACCACAGCACCTCTGTTCCCATTACTCGGCTTCCTCAAGACTTCCAAAAGAAAGCCTTTTTCAGCATAATGATTACGAAGTGGACCCTCAGGGACATTCTATCTCTTTGACTTTCAGTAGGATGGGGCAGACGGCCTGAAAAAAACTGACCGAATGAGCTGAACCGGTTTGCTTAGTATCCAGGAATCCTGAATTGTGATCCAGCATCATTCCCTCATCAGGGTCCAATGCAAACAGTTTAGTTTTAGTTTTAGAGAAAGCTTTACACCAGCACAAATAGTCGTAAAATTCTCGAAGATTAGGTGTTACGAGAAAGCTCAATGAATTCCAGAGACTCGAGACTCTCCATCTGTCTCAGTCAGTACATGGAACTTCAATGTAGCTTTCACCAAGGTACACAAGTGGCACTTTTGACTTTTGGTGCTCTCTTTTTTGCTAAAAGTAAAAGTGACACTCTAGAAAACCTAAGTCGGGACCCTTGAGTACAAGGGAAACCTGATATAACAGGGATGGTGGGACATGAGGAAAAGTCCTGTTACATCAGATCCCTGTTAAATCAGAAATGCAAGGGAAGTAAGCATTTGTGGACTAATCTAGCTGTATTTATTATTCATGTGTAGTGTAGCGAGGCTTAGGGCTAGATCGAAGTCTGCAGCACACCGCAGCCCTCTCTCGCTTCCCCCGCTGCGTGTGCTTGCTCCATCACTGCGTTACTCTTTCTCTCTTTTAATTTTTACACATTGTTAACGAGCCTTTGTCCCTGCTATAACCGATTGGGCTCTGCCCAGGTCCTCTTATTGCAGATAACTTTTAATAATAGAGACAGAGTAGGAAAAAACGGGGATTTTAAAAATCCCTGTTACCGTACTACCGGGCCCGTTATATATAGTTTCCACTGTATGTTTATAGTAAAACGCAGAAATATGCGATGATAAATCATAAATGCAGCCTGCTTGAATGTTAGTTTCTCAATGCCAACTGTGTTGGAAGTTGAAATTTAAAAGAAGCATGAACTCATCTGCAACTTAGGTGGACTCCCCCAGTCTGAACACTATCAGAGACAGACTAAGCATGACACACATCATCATCTGCCAGATCTGCTGCAGACATTGGCGATCATGGCTCTCCATTCATTCTTTTACTTGGATGCTCTTAAAAAATCTACCATTACCCTGGTCTTTCCCCATCACCCATCTGTTTAGATTCACCAAGAAGATTGCACTTGCCCTACCCCAGCCTCATTTGCCTTGCTTTGCCAGTGACACACAATGTTCAACGTGTGCATATTTTGTTTTACCCATATTCAGTAACAACTACCTTCTACTACAGAGAAAGTTCTGGTTTGTAAGTGGGGCAACAAACTAATAGTGTAGATCTACCTGTGACAATCTGAACTGTGTACATAGATTCAATATCTCCAACTGGAAGGATCTCCGCTCAAAGACACAAGTACTTTGCAACAGTATTTAGTTTTTATTTTAATTCCAACTTTTCAAAGAAATTTTTCTATCAATTCTGAGGTGACAGACATTAGGAACCAACTAAGTCAAACACGTTCACGATCTTTTTAGAAACTTATCTTCCCAACGACTGCAAAGATCATATATTCATTTTTTTTAAGGGGATCCACTGGTCAGATCAGTAAAAATTTTGAAAAAATATCAGTTTTCGAATTTTGAAGTATCTTAATAGATATCAATATCAAGGATTCATCTTTAGAAGCCTAATTCCTTATCAAACTTAGAAATAGCTGGAAATGCATTTAAGAGAGGTAGCAATGTAGGAAAATCTTCACCAAAAATTATCTCTCTTTGCAGTTTTCTCAGAATTGTTTATCTGACCAGGTTGCAACACTATTTTGAGTAGATCTCAGAAAGTTACTGTCAGAAGTGTTTCACATTTGGACACAATCTTTTATACACATTTCTCTATAACTTTACAGCAGCATTTTTGCTGTTTATGGAACACATTTGAGTTTTAGGCCTTTTTTATTTTAAAAAATCTTAAAACATTGGAGACCTGAATGTAGTGCATAACAAGGACTGTAAAGCTCACAAGTTAGTACAGAAAATTCAAATTTGGCTCTGTAAGGTTGTTCTACCTACCAACAGTAATCGCCATGCCAAATATTAGGCTTCTATCTTGATGAGTGTTGATGATTGACAAAATATAATATTGGTTTTAAAAATGCTGAATCAATCCTTTATTTTTGATGGCTCGAGATTGTTATGGCTAAAATCTTGAATTTTTTGCTTGGTAACCTTTTTTTGTACTATGTCACCCCCTTTGATGCAGAAAAGCAAGCGTTAGACCAAAAACTATAGCATTTGGGTGTTGACCATAGCTACACCCCCTTAAAGTCCTCAGCTCTGAAGCACAGCGATCATTTCAAAGAAAATTAATCAAATTTAAGTATACAGGAAAATGAAGTCTACCACATGCACCATTTCTTATAAACATACTTGAACGAAATATAAAAGGAAATACCAAACAAATAATTAGAAACTGATAAAAATAGTTTATTCAACCATTTTCCAATAGGAACATAATCAACATAACACTGAGTGGTAACAATAGCAACAGCAAATAATACTGCAACTCCACATAACACTGAAACCAGGTCATTCTCATTTTGATCCACTTACACACCACAGCCAACACTCATCTCAAATACTAATTGATGAGTTCCATACAAACATACATGCTGTTCCATACAAACATACATGCAGTATGACAAACACTCACAAATAATCAAGAATATGTTGGGCACACAGCTGTAGGAATGCCAACAACACCAGACTTATGAGCTGCAAGGAACCCTGGGGACTTTGATCTTATAATACCTTAAAAACACACAACGTATAATAAATATTATGTAAGTACACACACAACAGGATAAACCCCAATAATAATAATATCCTCAATGTATAAACACAATTGTCCACAACACAAAAAAAACCCACAAAGCAAAATCATACACAATATGAATGCAAACTGAATCCATGATAACAAAAGGTTCATGTTCTTTTACAGGTGAAGTCACCAAAACAAGTACTGGTAGCCTTTGTGATATCCCGTTTTCTCTTTGGTGCATAAAATTCAAGAACCACAACAAGTTAGACTGTGTCACAGCCAGGAAAACCAAAAAGATTGACTATAGGAATCATAATAACATACATGCAGCTTCAAAAAGTTAATTTCTCACGAAATTCTTTTGTGGAGGTTAAGATTTTTGCTTTCACACAATGGGCCTGAACACCGAGCCTTTTGGTATTAAAAAAAACAAACTAGACAAATGTCTATCAATGACTATCAAATATATGACAACTGTGAAAAGAAAAATAATTTGTAAACCAAAAAATGGAATGTGTCAAACCTATGAACAACACTGAAACAGGAAGAATACTCAACACGTAAATTTAACCCTTACTGTGGCAGTCTTGACATATCGTAACCTCAGAACTATTTTGCGTAAATTTAACCCTTACTATGGCAGTCTCGACATATCGTCACCTCAGAACTATTTTGTCCAAAGTGCCTCTTTACTAAGTAGGCCTACATTTTGTACAAAATAGTTCTGAGGCGACGATGCGTTATGTTGTATGGCAGTCACTACATATGTCATAACATGAATGAATCAGGCACTCTTCAAAACTGTGTCTGTTCATTTGTCCAGCTTTTAATGAAAAAAATATCCTATTATCTTGAATGGAAGTTGTGAAATTTGCAATTGAAGGAGGTAGGGGTTGTTTGGTGTCAGAGGTAAGATTAGTGAGAAAATGGATGCCAAAGTATGGCGGCTTCCAAAATTAAAAATATAAAAGTGTCTTCGGAATCTGCAAATAAATTATTTTTAGTGTGACTTTGATCAATGTGTTTCAGTAAAATCCACACTGAAATGTTTTCAAATGCACCATTCACAGATCTTGAATATTCGTTATGATGTCAGTTTCATCTATTCATTATTTTGATGAGCTCCTGATTTCACCACGATGTAAAAACTGAGGTAGGGCAAAATGCAGCGACACTGAAAATCTGACAACCTTGAACAAAAAACTAACATAAATAGTAATAATTTACTATCACAAATTCAATGAAACGTAAATACTTTAGTTCAATAACAAGGCCTACAAGGTATGACGAATCCCAATTCCACACAAGGCCTGCACCAACGCGCACTTTGCAGAGAGCTCTAATCAAAATTCTAAAACCTGTTATCAAGTTGCCTACCCCCCCCCCCCCCCCCCCCCCCCCCCCAATATTTCGCAACTCTCGGACTTTGAACGAACTCTTTAGCAACACTCAAGATTTTGAATGAACTTTGGCAACCCCATCAACCGCCGGTACCCACACTCACTACTCACACGATGCTGTAGCATGTGATGTGAATGCGCCCAAAAAGCTGAAGATCAGAAAACATTTGTATTTTCTTTTCTACAAGTGATAACACAGTGACAAATATTGATTTTATTTATTTGCGTGGCGACACAGCATTTATAATGCACGACTTGCATGTCACAAATGTTGTGGTATCATACTATCACCCGCAAATTTCTGAGTGGTAACGAAAGCGAAAGTAGATCTTGATTTTCCCCGATTGACCCCAGTGTCACATACACTTCCACCTGTCGCCATTGCCGCCTATTCGCGTGAATTGTACTCTCAGACCTGGAAAAGCTGAACGAACATTCAATCGCGACCCGCAAAAATGAATGTACTGACCTATCCAATTTGGTTTTCAAATATTCAAGTATTTTCTTGGGTCTTTCGCAGGGCAGTTCACAGATTTCCTCATACTCCCGGGTCTGGCAGGTTCCTATAACATTAACCTATTGCCGACAGAATTATCGTAAATATCCCAATACGATGGCGAATACGTATCCTTTGCCCCGGAATCTCTGTAGCCCTACGCTATCGCACTTATTTACGGATGGAGTTGATAATGATTGGGGAGCAAGTACGGAACTGTCAGAAAGTACTGATTTCTGGGTAGAAATACTATTGGTTTCATCAGCATATCTTTATAAAACATATATATGATCTGGTAAAACAAATAAAAATCCTGTTTCACAGCCATTGAAGCCCATGTTGTGCCTGGTATAACCGCCACAGTAAAGGTCAATTTACTTGATATATTGGAACAATATCAAACAACCTTTAGAAAAATAAAATATTCACAAGTTTAAAAGTTCCTCTGGAACTTATAACCACATAAAATCACAACAGCAAATACACACTATTAGCCAGTGCTATTTATTAAAAGAAAACCACTCAAACATCTATAAACACGACTTATAACAATGGTAACACTATTTCTTAAAAATGAAATACTCTTGACCTTCTATCATTCTTGCAACAGACATTTTACTTACCATACTTTTCTTTCCAAATCAGGTATAAATTATGTACAAACGCCATGATTTCAAAACAGTGAAAGTGCGTATATATCTTAAAATGGTAACTGGAAAAAAAGAATGGAACACTCGGCAACAAGCGTTTATGTGACTAGAATTTCACAGGAATGTTTGTGGAGTCTTTGACTACTTATTCAAATAACACGCAGAATTGAAAGTAAGATCAATTTTGGTCTGAAAAGTCGGGAATACTCACAACTGAAAGTAAGAACATTGAAAAGCTGACAAATAAAAGAAAATGAAAACAATTCATAGACGGAAGACCTATAAAAGAAGTACTGGTGACCATTGAGACATTTTTCAGGCATGTTTTATTTAAAACAACCCACTACACTGTGTCATTGCAAGGAATACTCTTCGTTCATGACCACAATAAACTTAATTCAGAAAACAGATTCTGAGAGATTAACTATACGATTATTTTCGAGCCAGTTGATAATAAAACTAGAAAATTACACAAACCACGTACAAACACACCACTGGGTGTTGCACCATAAGTAGGAACATTTCACTTTCAATTGTTTTATAAGGTCATTAAGGGACATCAGAATATCTCAAACCCAATTGAAGAAAAAAAAGCAAAACTCGCTGCTTTTTATTCCAAAGAATGCCATTTTCCAACAAAAAAGTAATTTACTGAGAAACCACTAGCTGATTAAAAATAATATATCAGCACTCGGCTTAAGTCAATATAATATAATATCTAGAATATCACTTGACAGAAAATCAGTGACAAAAAAACCCCCAAAACAATAAATGAATAAATAATCACTATTCAATGAGCATTTCGGATTTTAAAAATATATGAAATTTACTCAATGTATATGGTGCTTTGATTTGATCCAAGAAAACAATACTGAAATTATTTCATGTAAACAATCGTCTGGAAATCAAGGACAAAAAAATAATATAAAATATGTCAACATGATTTTTCCTGACTTAATAAAATATACACGTTTAAAGATTCATATGGAGGATTGTTAAGAGCTGACACTTGCACATCAATAGCATGGTACAAATGTATGAATCACGAAATATCACAAAGTTCATGGGAAAGAATTGCACTTATTAATGTTTGCCGTGGTTTAACCAGCTGCTGAGCTGCATCAAGTGTTCGATTCCATGGGCATGTTCTCTCTTGGATACGTCATCTTCACTCTGAGCAAGACAAAACATACAAGCAGTCAATAGCAAAGTAAAACAAATATTGAACCAACTTTCTGACTTAGAACAACACCATCACAACTTGATTGGAAGTCGAAAAAGATGTTCCTTAAAAAAGTTCTATAAAATGAAAATAACCATATAATCACCATGGCAGATAAAATGAACACCTTCATTGGACCATGCTTTACAGGGTGAGAAAAACACTGAAATGACTCGTTACTTTTTTTTTTCTTTCAACAGTAACACTATTTTCAGAGCAAAGGCAAATGTTCTTGCATGAGCATAAACTCAAACACTAGACATCTCAAGTGATACAGAGTGTCAAAAATAGACCACCAATATACAACAAAAATTCTTTCATCTTAAAAAACAACAACAAACAAACAAAACATATCCTGTCAATGTATGGGAGGCACTGACAAGTTTAACAATTCAGATGTCTAAATATCCTGTGAACTGAGTCAAAAAGAGCTGATGTTACCATCTGTTCTGGTACACCTGCCTTCTGTATTACACATGACCTAGCACTGTCAACTCTAACAATGTGTAAAAATAAAAAGGACTTATTTAGTACAGACTAGGTCTTGTGATGTCTAATTCTAACATAACGCTGATTTTAAAAAAGTAAGAAACTACCCACAATGTCTGTTCCTTTTCATGTTCTCATTTAGGGTCTATCATTTTTAGTTCTCTTCTGCCCAATACAATGGTAAAGGAACAGCATAAAACACACACACACCAAACAAACAACATCCCCCACACACACACATACTAACACAGCCAGCTAGTTTTTCCTGTCCCTGTAAAACAAAGCAAAAGCACCAACCCCACTGCAATCTCAGGCCTCTGTGGACAACATCAAGTTCATCAAGTCAGTTACGAATGATGGGGAGGGGGGTTACTCCCAGTTTCTTTTACCCAATGTTTCAAGTTAAGTATTGGTATCAGGTTTGGATTAAAAAGGAGCAAAATAGAGACAACCTTTGCCTTTACCTGACAGGTCTTCCTGCTACTATCTGGACACCCCTTCCCGGCATGACAGGACCTCCCAGATATCTCTGTCGGACTAGCTGCTGCATCATGGAGGCCTGACTTCCACCACGCACAAGACCCGGGCCCAACAAAGTGGTACTGCCACCAGCAGCAGCACCACCTCGTGCTATGAAGGCAGGCCGCCCCAGGCGCTGAGCTTGTAGCATTGGAGCACCCAGTACTCTTGCCTGGGCCAGTCTGTGAGAAAGAGAGGACAAAATGTTTCATATTCATGTTTCTTTCTAAGAAACAGTCAAAAAAGAACTTCAGCTCTCCTTCCTCCCTCAAGAATCTGTGTCATGGAAAGTCGTATTTTCTTTCACTGTTCTCCAACAATCTCTCAAGTTCAAAATCTCAAGAATTATGTCTGTTTTTACTTTCATTTATGATTTAAAAAACCAACAAGATATCCATGAGTCATAAAATACCCGAAACTACTACGAAATCAATCACAAATGTCTTATAACAATATATTTTCTGAAAGCTCTACACCTTGAAAAGACTATCCAACGGACAATATTTTCATGCAGTACACTTGCCTATCTTGTGAGCCAATGATAAAGGGGTTGCAACAGAAATACAAAGGAGTAGGATGCTTATACTGTGCTTCAGCCAATCACCACTAAAACTATATATCCAGGAAAAAGAATAAAGATCATGGTGCATCCACACAGAATCAACATTATTTCCCTTTTAAAAAAAAAAAAATTATGACCCCCAATAAAATAGCTGAGTGAACTCATAAATTTTAGTAGCTTTTCTGACAGCGAATGGAGGTCCCCCCAAAAAGTACATCATCAGTCTCCTTACATTTGACAGAGAGAACTGAGAGACAATACTCTTCCTCTTTTATGCTGTGCACTTTTCTTTGCTAACATGACAACATACCTGACTCCCCTCTGGTGCATTAAACCAGCCTGCGAGGCAAGGGCGTGCTGACGAAGGGCTGACGCGTGCAGAGCTGCAGATGGTGCCAGCGGAGCAACGCGTTGTTGGACTACCGTCTGCTGCGACATACCACCGAGTCCGGTTGTCAAAGTGCGCTGCTGAACTACCATGGTCTGGCTGCCATTGGTCAACGTCCGCTGCTGGAGGAGCGAAGTGGCCTGGAGACCGTTGGCCAAAGCGTGTTGCTGCACCACTGTGGCCTGAGCGGCTACACCAGCTCCATTCAGCCCTGCTGCTGCACTGAGGCTCTGTTGTCGCAGGATGGTCGCTCCACCTCCAGGGTGCTGGGCAAAGTGCATCGAGGAGCTGGACATCATGGCCGGCTGAGACATACCTGGAATACCAGACAACAATTAGCTCTAGTATTTTTGTTGTCAGATCAAGAACAGAAGAAAGTGTTTTATAAGAAAAGGTAACTTTATGGGAAAATCAATTCCAAACAAGTACTGTCTGGGTACGATAAGCCAAAAACACAATAGGCACCAGTTGTCCTGGAGTAAAGAGAAGCACACTGACATGACAACAGCCAATAAATTTTTAGTTTTAGTGTTTTACAGCACTGGCAACACAATAAGGTCATATAAGTGATGAAGATTAAAGGTGTTACAAGAGAGTAACAAACACAAAAAAGGAGGAGAGATAAGGACAATGGATGTTTGATAGGAAAAAAAAGGCAAACCACACCAGAGCACCCGCTAACCAACAACAGCCAATAAATAAAGAAAAAGCAAGATAACAGCCCAGCAGGAAAGAAGTACTACAAGAAGAGGTCCCTAACCATCAGAATGTCGTAAAATTGGAAGAAATGGGAGTGAAAAACAATCAAGAATAGGATTTTTTTAAAAGCATGAATACCATCTGCAAGGTGATCTCATGAGTGTGCTATTCTTTTGCGATCAATTCAAAAAGGCACGACAAGTAACTGCATACTCTCGCGTAAAAGTTTTCTAATTAAACCTTGACAAAGAGGGGATCTCAGAAGGAAACTTTTGTAAGTGAAATTAGGAATTATGCAGGCCAACACAAATAGAATGGTTAATCGCTTTTTAGTAAAGACAGTACAATACAAACACCCTCTTTCTAATGGGTAACCCTTTTTAACACTTTTCACAAGATAAAAAAATGATAAGACCATGTCTCCTTTAGACTGTATGTCATTTTCCCCTCCTCCTTTCTAAAAGAGTTCATATTACAAGATATATGCCCTACAAGTTCAGGGTAACCAGAAAGTGTTCAAAAGATTTCCTGGACTCATGCGCTTTATAGTGCTGCAGAGAGATTTGGAAGTTTTTTTCTCATGTTTCGGATGTTTGACACCCTTTTTAAAGTTTTTGTTTAAGTTCTATAACAATTAGCCATACCAGAAAACAATAACATTTCAAAGCGTGTGCACTCTCTTAATATTTTTGCTCAACAAGCATCAGTCAAAAGTTGCTGATGGAAAAAAATCCCAATATCCAGGACATTAAAACAAAAGCCGAATCTTGCAAAGAATTTAAAACCTTACCCCTCTCAGTTTTCAAATAACAAGCCCAGTTGTCGTTTACAAAAGTTTTCTCAGGATACCCACCAGCCAGTTACTTACCTCGAATAACAGAAGCACCAGCGTACGAGGACGGGTTCACGCTGGCAGAGAAGCCAGCAGATCTTGAGGACTGTAAGAATGGCACAAGAGCAGATTGTCTGGCCGCAGCAGATTTGAAGGACTGGTCTCCTGTCCTCAGAGCACCATCGTTCTGGTCCTCTTCAGCTGTGTGGGGGTCAATTGCAGCAAGAGAAAGAGGGGCAGTTGCAGAAGATGAGTTTGTAATGCTTTCACCGTGAGCTGATGTGGACAACGCTTCTGTAACTGTGTTTTGTGTTGAGGTGTAGGTTGCTGAGCAGGACGTTTGATCTGCTGATGAGTGAGGTGTTCCATTATCATCCTCAGCCCAGCAAGCACTGTTTTCCTGAGATTGAGCAATGTTCTGTGAAGACAATGCAGCTGCAATATTTATATTTTGTAAATGAGGCGCGACAATTTCTTCCTCGTAGCTCTGGTAGACATCTGCCAGAGCTACAGGAGTGGAATCTTCTTCTTCCATTTCTTCTAAATCATCATTTGAATGTTGCTTATATGAAGACAGACGTTTTTCCCTGATATTGCTATGCTGCTCATTCTCAACTGCTTGTTTATATCCATACTGAGAGGAAGAATCTTCACTGAGATCACCGACAGTATTGTCATAGTCAATTTCTACAGGAAACTGTTTATAATGCTCACTGAGGCTATCAACAGTATTATCTTTTTCTACTAAGACTGTAGATGAAGACTTATAATTGTCTATTCCTTGGTTATAACTAGCTCCTTCACAATCCGTCTGACAAACAGAAGAGTCAGAAACCTGAAGTGAATCAGCACTGTCTACACACATAGCATGTTCATCGTTTTCCTTTCCATCTGTATTACTACAACTTTTTCCCAAGTTCTGCACTGATTCAAATGACACATTATTCAACGTCAAAGTAGAACTTGAATGTTCAGAGTCTGCCAAAGAGGGGTTCTCATAGTCATTAACTGACTCATAAGAGTCCACATGAGCTGCACAATTTAAATTTTCAGAGGAGAAATATCTTTGAATAGTCCCTTTAGGGTGTAATGTACTCGGGCTTTGAGTACTTTTACTATCTTGAGCTGAAGTTTCATAAGATTCACTAACACTGGCAACTATTGAGTCTTGTTGATCTCCTGATGATTTATATTGTTCACCACTACCCTGTTCAAATACTTCATTAAGTTCCTCAGCTGAGCATTTTGGTAAATGCTCTTCTTCATGTGAAAGACTGTTAGCTTTTTTACGAGTACTTTTCTCTGGTTTTTCTTCAAAATCAGCAGCATTACTTGTGCGTGCTGCACCAAGTTCAACAGAACTAGCTCGGATAAACACAGAATCGCTGAGCTCACTACTCAGTATTTCACCAACATAGGTTCTCTCTTCTGAACGTGACCTAGAGGCACTAGACATAGAAGCTTTCCTATAAGACGTGGCTTTATACAATGGAGAGCGGTAGTCTTGGTCCTGGTCACCAAGATCCAGCACAGGCCCACATCTTCCTGGCGAATCTCTGCTCCCCTGACCAACACTTGGGGAGATGACGGTCGAGTGTTCCCGCGTGGGGCTCTGGGTCAAGCCTGTTCTATAGTCAGAGTCAGTGGCCCAAAGACCCTGACCATCCTGTTGATCTTCTGCTTTTTCCCTTCCAGGGCTTCCAGAACCAGGGTCAGTAGTAGTATCTGTGTCCAATCCACATCTGTCTCCAGCAGGACTTCGTGAATTCGAGGAGGCAATAGAAGCTGTTGATTCTCCAAGTGTTTCCTTCGAGACAGCAAAAGACATCCTGGGGCTTGGAGAATTATCACAGGAGGACAATTCTTTGCCTTCATTTGCATCATCTTCTTCCTGTGTGGAAGAATATTAATAAGCGGTCAACAATTATACAAATAAAAGCAACACAAAGAATAGAAAATACATAATAGTGTGGAGTATAACAAGTTCTAATCTTCACGTGATCATCAACACAGTGAACATAGAATACCCAAACGCATCACTGTTCTTTTACTGGAAACTTTAAAATATACATGTATTACAAGGTAATACAAGAAAAGGCCTTTTTTTTAAAGATCTATAAGCTAAACAAAAAGGTATCAACTTCTTAGTCGTCAAATGAATCTCCACAAACAAATAATGCAGCAGCACTCATCAAAAGCAAATATTTATATGTTCACCTACATCAAATATTGTAAGAACAGTCAAAACATGAACTACACAATCTTAGCCGCAATCAGGATAATCTGCATCTGTCAAGTTTCACAGGGACATTCGCGGTAAATATCAATGCACCTGTCCAACACACAAGAAGTGTGAAAATTCTCACAGGTTGTTTTTTTTCAAGAACACGCAGGATAATCAAAATAATCCAGTGAAACAAATACCTAACCATATGCTCAAACTGAAAGCCTTGTTGAGCCAAACAATTTCCAAGTGCCGCAGTAATATGTGAATTCCCCTACAGGATTTTCTTTTTCTTTTGGAGAAAGAGAGACAGAGAGAGAGAGAGAGAGAGAGAGAGAGAGAGAGAGAGAGAGAGAGAGAGAGGGAGAGAGAGAGAGAGAGAGGGAGAGGGAGAGGGAGAGGGAGAGAGAGAGGGAGAGAGAGAGACAGAGAGAGAGACAGAGCGGATAGACATAATGAAAAGAGAGACAAACAGAAAAAGAAAGAGACCAAGCAGATAGACAAAAAGAAAAAGATGTGGTGTGTGTGTGTGAGTGTGTGGGAAAGAAAGAGAGAGAGACAGAGAGACAGCCTAATCCCCAATAGGATTTTCTTTTCTTTCAATTAAAAAAACACGAGCACAGGAGAGATGAGAGAGAGAGAGAGCCAGCAAAAGAGATACAGAGAGAGGTACAAGAGAGCCAGAGACAGACTGGGAGACTGACAAAGGTGCGAAAGGCAGGCAGGCAGGTAGATAGAGCAAGAAAGGCAAGCAGACAAAGACAATTCAACAGAACAGAGTATTTTCAGCCTTTGATATTTTGGTTTAAAATTGTATTTCTTCTCAGACACAGAAAGTAAATCTCAGTGAAAGGCGTGCATCAAACCAAATATCCTTTGAGTGCAATAAATTAAAAATCCGTGGTATCACTCCATAAGGGATTGCAAAGGGTTTCGGCGATGATCAAGAGATGTCTGAGGAAAATTCTTCAAAGATTCTCTTGTCATATACCACACACAGAGGCTGAGAAACGAGACACATTTGCCTGACTGATTTCATATCACAAAAACGAAACAGTGGTCACTGGTTCTTTTGCCAAATACTCTGTCCAAGAGTTCACCGAGACACATATATATATACACATAAATGCCAAACACACACACATGTGCACCTGCGCGCTTGCGCACACACACACATACATTCACCATCAAGCAGTGAGCACTTCTGAAAATGCACAACTCTCTTAAGGTTGTTACCTACAGTGGCCATTTCCGCATGAATGCTTTTAAGTGTGTAGCATGTACTTTACCTTTAAAATACACAGACTACTGTCCTTGTAAACAGCTATATTGTACAGTAACAACAAACATAGTATCCTACAGGCACTAACTTCCACAAACTGCATTGGCATCTTAATAGACTGTCATTACAACAAAAATACCACAATCAACCTCCCACTTACTCATCAAGCCCAAGGGAGGAAAGGTGGTGTGAGGTACCCTGAGCTGCCTCTGTTTGTTTTATTTTAATTATCCATGTATTTAATTATCCTGTTCATAATTTTCATTATAGAATACAAGTTTCTTCAGTTAGTAATTACTCCCTCATTGGTCATCCCTTTCTCCTCTACCACTGTCTCAAAAGCACCCATACAGGTAGCAGCGGATCATCTCCATGACAGAATATGCACGCGTGAGTATATCAAATAATGCTGATGCAATTCCTATTGTAACCACACATAATGCTGTGAAAGGTATCCGGCAGGGCAAATATGTGAAGTTTCACACACGTTAAGAAGAAGAAAGCAGACTTAAACAAGCAACAACCACAAGAAAAGTTTCAGAGAATTGACACAATACAAGAACGAAGACCTCCATCCATGGATCGATCACTTTAAATCCAACATTTGAAAGAGTCCATTCCTCACTGCTAGATATGTTTGTACTGTCCATCAGTGATGATACGTTGTACGTATTACCTTCACACGACGACACACGAAGTTCTCCCCACCAGAATGCAATAATGATAATGGCTTACCTTCAGATGAAAACGATAAAATGGCTTAGGAAAAAAAAAATCATCGCATGGTGAATGGCTGAATCTGGAACGCAGAAATCTCTTCTGTAAAACGCAGAGTAATATGCTCCTCACAAAACCTGAAAAGTCACTGATGGAAGGATAAGATAATTATGTGATGATTGTTCTTATCTAATTTATGGACTTCTCTTCGTTGAGCAAGTCTTTGTCATGCAGAACACTGACAAGCCCTCGGTCCATCACGCCCCAAAAACCACGAGGTCATCTATTCATTCATGTTACAAAACTGTGCCAAAAAAAAAAGCAAACACCCCACAAAACCGCCCCCCCCCCCCCCCCCCCAATCAAACGGTGTCACACAATTTTTCGGCTTTCATACTTTCGGCTCTAGGAAATTCAATATCATGATCCCATGAAGGAACTATTTCTAAGGAACTTATCCTCACAACCAATTTTAGTGAACAGAAAGGAAGATACTATATAACAAAACAGAAACTGTCAGCCTGCTTTGTGACCGGATTGTTATCAGTAAAGGAAAGGCTCACAATAGGAGATGACTTGATAGCTTTGTAATCTCCTTTCAACAAATACAGCCAGGCACAAAAGTAGGTATACAGTAAGTACAAAATAATTGTTCTGACAATTAATTCATTAAGAATATTTAAGGAACGTGTGAATACCAACGGCAAAAGCATTCGGGAGTATCTGAGGAATGAAGGCTGTGTTTGTTATTAAATACATATGCCAATCCTCATTTATTGTATAATAAATGCAGTGACAGTTATTATTGTACGCGTTTTCTTTTTTCACAACTGTATACCTTCTTTTGCAACCCTCTGTATACATTAACATCAAGACAGACATAATTGCAATTCTGTCTGTGTGTCTTTCTCTTCCACCCACACATACACCCACATTTGAAGAGGTAAAAATGCAAGACAGTTTTGCCCCCTCTTCCCATTTATTAAAGCTACCAGATATAAAAGTATAACTAAATTACAACACAAACAGGTACTGAAGGACCTACTTACCACTCTTCATTCTGACTATACTTTGCAGAGTTATGCAAAACTCTTGGAGAAAGCAAAGTGTTTGTGGAGCTGAATACCAGCACAGAGACATCAATTGGCAAAAATAGGCTCAGAGAAAGAGCATGATCATCCAGTATTACTTATATAAGAGTAGAAAGAAAGCAAGTAGATCTGACAGTTCCACAACAGACACTTGCTCAACCTACTTTTCGTAGATATATATTTTTTAAAGCACTTGTCTTTACATGAGGGAAGAAATGGAAGGGGATGTGGGGGCGAAGAAAACTGGAAGGTTCCAGTGCTTCCTCGAAAGAGCTAGTTTCAGTTTTAGTTAGAGCAAGACTTTTACGGGCACTTGCAACTCAAATGCCAAAGATAGAGGTGTTACAAGGAGTAACATACAAAGAAAAGGAGGGGAGATAAAGACCATGGGTGTTTGATAGTAAAAAAAAAAAGAAGAAGAAAACCACATCAGAGCACCCGCCAACCAAGTTTCTGAAAAACAAAAACCTCAGCAGGTAAATTTTTGAAAACTCATTATGGACAAGAAGATCCTTGATATTCCACTGATCCAAGTAAAGAGACGCAGAATGACAGAACAGCCATTTAGTCAAGGAAAAAACCACGATAGTAACTGCAAAGATAAAAGAGGCAAGACCTACTAGTAGCCCCCTTTAACCAGTAACTCTGATGTTCTGGGAATCTGTATAATTAGAATTCAGAGTCAAACTGCTGCCTTGCGCATGAAGAAAATTCCTCATGCACACCTTGGCTGAACTTAACTCCGTCAACTCTCCTTAAAAGTAAAAGTGAGACCCACATTTAACACACCACCCAATATGAAAAGCAGACAACCAGTGGTATCACTGGCTTTTCCATATATATAAATGTACTAATTTCATGTAGTGGAAAAGAAAGGGAAGGAATACCAGCTATACCAAAGACATCTAGATCTAGAAGTCTAGAAAAAAATTTGCTTTGGAAAGATGAACTAAATACTTTTTAAAACTTGACACTGATTAGAAAACAAGAAACTGAAACGCCTCCACTCCAGAACAAAGGTGAACATAAGTGAAGAACAAGGGTGAACATGGACAGACCAAGGTATACTGATGACTATAAAAGAATGGTCTAGCAGTCTTCCAATTTAAAAAAAAATAATCCATTTGACAAGAATTTTCTTTCTTGACAAATTTATCATTCGCCGTCAATGAAGAGGTACCAATACCTGAGAGAAGGAAAGGTATGGTTTGCACTACACAGCCCTTTAGGTTCAAATTGTCCACAGGACCAAGATCCACTTGCGAAAAAACCCAAAAACAGTCTCAACCATAATTCATAAAATCTGGTGGATAAAAATTAAAACAAAAGTGTCTGATGATATTTTTTTTTAAACATTAGCCAGCAGCACCGAGAATACATATGTCGATACGTGAGGGGTAGAAATAAGGAAGAGGGAGCAGAGTAATAGGAACATGTCTCCAGTCAACAAAGATGCCACAGAATTAATATTAAATTTAAGACAATGACAACATGTAAAGAAATAAAAAGACAAAGGGCAGGGGGGGGAAAAGAGTTGGTATGCAAAGACTGTAAGAGCAACAAAAAAATGTCCACAC